TAATCTATTGTATAAATAAACAAAATATCTGACTTTGTATTCCCATTTGAACTTTGCTGTGCATTTATATGGTTGAAAGCGCAGTGATAGACATTTGGGTGACAACTAAACCAAAAATCGGACATTGTTTTTCTATTGGAATTTGGTTGTGCTTTTAGATGTTTGAAAGCATAGTGATAACACATTGGAAAATTCTACTAACTTTTGGCATTTTTTTTGAGTGGGTGAATATCGATTGTAATCTCATTGATCAACGTCTCAACCAAATATTTGCCAATGATCCACGTTGAAATGACGCAGTGTGCCCAGAGGGATACCACTTACATCTGAAAAATGTACAAATGTAAAAATGTGCCAAAGTGATTGAAAAGAAACTGTCAGGACAGCCAAAACAGATGACCTCACCATTTGGCTGTGCTTTGAAGATGCATTAGAGGTGTGTGTCTATGTGAGTATGTGTGTATGTGAGGCTGTGTGTGTGTGTGTGTGTGTGTGTGTGTGTGTGTGTGTGTGTGTGTGTGTGTATCTACATATAACTGTGTGTGTGAGGCTGTGTGTAAGGCTGTGTGTGTGTGTGTGTGTGTGCGTATCAGCAGCCTATAGAGGGCGAAGCGGAGACATGAGTCTGAGGTGATTGACAGCAGCCTCTCTGACTGACAATAAAACAGAGAGAAAGGGAGAAGAGAGAGAAGGCTGTTGCCAGGGTAGCTGTTGCCATGGTTACCCAATTATATTTTATTACCGCCCTGAGACCCCCCCTGCTGTTGTTAAGGTGAACTACCTCTATTCAGAGGAAGATAAAGGTTTCTAAACCCCAACACAAAGCATGGAAAAATACAGTTATATAGCATTTATGGAGATATTACCACTGGTTTTTGTCCAAGCTTTATTATAATAAAATATTTAAAAATATATATTTTCCCATTCACACCTTTTTGTCATTATTTATCCTGCCATTCATTTTCTTGTTATTTCTTTCCTCTCCTGTCTTATCTGCACCTCACCTTTCCTCTCCCCTCTCTTTTCTCCTCTCCTCATCTCCTCTCTCCCCTCCTCTTAGACAGAGGACAAGCCCCCGGAGCTGAAGTCTAATTTCATGGCCTCCTTCCTGGACTTCCTCAAGACGGGGAAGCAGCCTGAATCTGGACCTGGTGGACCACAAGACCTCGGAGGGCCGGTGGAAGGAGCTGAAACTACAGACTCTTCCTCCCTGAAGGGTAGGATCCTGTCCCCGCCTCCCCCTCCACTGCCCCCTCCTCCACCCCCTCCGTTTGGGGACAGTAGCGAGGACGGGCTGAGCCCCTGCAAGCGTCTGGACGACGAGCTGAAGAGGAACCTGGAGACGCTGCCATCCTTCTCCTCCGACGAGGAGGAGGAGGACTCTGTCAGTAAGAACCAGGACCTGCAGAAGAGCATCTCCTCTGCAATATCTGCCCTTTACGACACGCCCCATTCGCTGGCTGCAACCGTGGCCCCGCCCCCTCCCAGCCCATCTCCGCCCCAGAGCCCATTGCTGCCACCAACGCCGCCACTCGTGGCCCAAACGCAGCTGGACTTGGCCGATCTGGAGGAGCAGGACGATGACGTGGAGACACACATGCAACTTCACAACACGCAGGCCAACGCACAGCCAAATACACCGTCCCCAGAACAGGTTGGACTGAATGGAATGGACGGAGAGGACGAACAACAAGTGGAGATGGAGGAAGAGGAGGAGATGGAGAAGGAGGAGAGGGTAAAGGAAGACCAGAATGTAGAGCGCGGGGGTGTGGAGGAAGAGGTAGAGGAGAGGGAAGAGGAGGAGGAGGGGGAGGAGGAGAGAGAGCCTGAGTTTGAGATGCTGGATGCTCCTAAAGTGGAAGGTGAGTAGCCTACAATCTCAGATATTCTGAAATGGTCTGACAAACAGTAGTTAATTTCCAAAGATGTAATATACTCTGAACCCCTCCCCAGATTCTCCATCCAGGCCTCCCCTCGCCCCCACAGCCCCCTCTCCCCCATCCCTCTCCCTCTCCCCATCCCCTCTCACTTCTTCCTCCCCCTCCCCCCTACCTCCCCCACCCCTCTCCCCACCCTCCCCTCTGCCCTTCCAGCATGTGGATGATAAAGAGGAGCAGCAGCAGCCGTCCCCCAAACAAACCCACCACCCCCACCACAACCCCTCTGCCTCTCCTCCCCCCAGCTCCTCTCCCCCGACCCTGCCCTCTCCACCCTCCCCTTCCCCTGCAATGCCCCCCTCCACTACCCCCCCTCCCTCCTCCTCCCCTCCCCTTTCGGATGCTCCAGAGCTGGCCCAGCCTTCCTCCTCGCCCTCCTCTTCCCCACCCTCACCCCCCACCCCTGAGGATGCGCCAGCCCCCAAGATCACCTCTCTGCACCTGGCCAAAAAGCAGGACAATGCGGCCATCGCTGGAGAGAGCGAGGAGGAGGACAGCGAGAGTGGCGGTGAGGGCATCTTCCGGGAGAGGGACGAGTTTGTGGTGCGGACTGAGGACATTGGCACGCTCAAGGTGAGGGCTTCTGGCATTCACTGTGGGGGGTGGTATGTCATGTCTTCACACACACACACACACTTACAATGCCTTCAGAAAGTAGTCATATTCCTTGACTTTTTCCACATTTTGTTGTGTTACAGCCTGAATTAAAAATGTATTAAATTTAGATTTTGGGGGACTGGCCTACACACAATACCCCATAATATCAAAGTGGGATCATGTTTTTATAATTTTTTACAAGCTAATAAAAAATGAAAAGCTGACATGTCTTGAGTCAATAAGTATTCAACCCCTTTGTTATGGTAAGCCTACAAATGTGCTTAACAAGTTGCATAATAAGTTGCATGGACTCCCTCTGTGTGCAATAATAGTATTTAACATGATTTTGAATAACTACCTCATCTCTGTACCCCGCACATACAATTATCTGTAAGGTCCCTCAGTTTAACTGTGAATTTCAAACACAGATTCAACCACAAAGACCAGGGAGATTTTCCAATGCCTCATAAAGAAGGGCACCTATTGGTAGATGGGTAAAAAAACAACAACATTGAATATCCTTTTGAGCATGGTGAAGTTATTAATCCTTAAGAGACACACCCGTGCGTCAATCTAAGTAACATAATAAAAAAAAAAACATCAAAATCCTTCAGTTTAAGCTAGAGATATCAATCCACCCCATCCGCCTTGTCGGCCTTCCGCATCTGCAGTGGAAGGTGGCCGAGCTACAGCGGTGTTTGTCAGACCATGAGACATCCCGAAAATCGGTCTTCTCACGAAAACGTCTGTAGCGTCCGAACGGCTCTAAGACCCCCACAAGTGTCACGGGACTCGTCTGAAGTCGGTAACGCTGATGTGCCAACTTCTGTCTGTAGCGTCCAACCGTTTGGGCAACAAACTAATATCCGTTTTGCTCTACGACCCCCACAAGTGTCACAGGACTCGTCTGAAGGTAACCCATACAAATAAATGGAAGTATGGAGGTAGTTTAGTGCAAACAACAATAAGGGGTTAAATATGTGTCGAAACAATATATAATATTTCCTGAGCTTTCTTATATCTCCTAGATATAGGACAGACACTTCAAAACCTTATTCTTTATTATCAATTTTTAGCCAATTTTTTTGCCATTTATGAACGTGATTTTCTGTCACGATCGTCGTATGGAGTAGACCAATGCGCAGCGTTAGTTGCAAACATATTTATTTATTTAATGAATGCACGAACAAAACAACAAAACGAAAACGTGACGTCCTCGGTATAACACAACCGACACGGCAACAAACCAAAACGGAACAAGATCCCACAAACACAAAGGGAAAACAGACAGTTTAAATATGGCTCCCAATCAGAGACAACCCGCAACAGCTGACACTCGTTGCCTCTGATTGGGAGCCACTCTGGCCAACATAGAAATACAATAACTAGACACTCAAACTCAGCACACAAACACAATGAATCTACACACCCTGGCTCAACATATAGAGTCCCCAGAGCCAGGGTGTGACATTTTCAATGCGTTTCTATGGGCTATAGTAGTAAAGGCGAAGTTCAATATTTTATCAAATAATAAAAAATTAAAAAATTGGGTTACCTAAAGGGGTCTTAAAATTCCAAATCAAATAGCTAAATGATCCATGGCATGACCATATTAAAACAATCCCGCCCCTCCCCAGAGGTTAATTACACTTTGGAATACAATACATCCAGTCACTACAAAGATACAGGTTTTCTTCCTAACTCAGTTGCCGGAGAGGAAGGAAACCGCTCAGGGATTTCACCATGAGGCCAATGGTGACTTTAAAACAGTTACAGAGTTTAATGGCTGTGATAGGAGAAAACTGAGGATGGATCAACAACATTGTAGTTACTCCACAATACTAACCTAAATGACAGAGTGAAAAGAAGGAAGCCAGTAAATAATAAAAATATTCCAAAACATGCATCCTGTTTGCAATAAAGTAAAGTAAAACTGCAAAAAATGTGGCAAAGAAATGAACTTAATGTCCTGAATACTAAACGTTATGTTTGTGGCAAACACAACACATCACTGAGTACCACTCTTCATATTTTCAAGCATGGTGGTGGTGACTGCCATCATGTTATGGGTATGCTTGTCATTGGCAAGGGAGTTTTTTGGGGGGATAAAAATAAACGGAATAGAGCTAAGCACAGGCGAAACACGTGTATGTGACAAATAAAATGTGATTTGATTTTATTTGGGTGTGAATACTTATGTAAATGAGATATTCCTGTATTTCATTTTCAATACATTTGCAAACATTTCTAAAAACATGTTTCCACTTTGTCATTATGGGGTATTGTGTGTAGATGGGTGAGAATAAATATCTATTTAAGCTATTTTGAATTCAGTCTGAAACACAACAAAATGTATAATAGGTCAAGGGGTATGAATACTTTCTGTAGGCACTGTACATACTCTATTTGTCTCTGCAGATGGCCCTGCAGACCGGCCGTGAGCCACCGCCCATCTGGAGAGTGCAGAAAGCCCTGCTGCAGAAGTTCAGCCCCGAGATCAAAGACGGACAGAGGCAGTTCTGTGCCACCAGCAACGTGAGTTACTCACATCCCCTTTAAGACTCTCTCTTTAATCTTAAAGTACAATCCAGCGATGGATGCAAGGATTTACAATCCAGCATGAGATCGTCATGATATTTGTACATATATTTTGAAGCTACACATTGTTTGTTTATAATGACTCAAATTATTATCTCTCTATAAATATTTCTCTCCTTTTCTCTCTCTCTCTCAGTATCTGGGCTACTTTGGCGATGCCAAGATGCGGTACCAACGTCTCTATGTCAAGTTCCTGGAGAATTTCAATAAAAAGGATTATGTCCGTGTGTGCTCACGGAAACCCTGGCACAGACCTGGACTCATGTTGAGGTAGGTTTGTGTTGTTTGTCCCTGCGTGTTTGCCGTACTCCTCTGGGTCTTGATTCATACGTGCCCAACCCCATGTAGAATCGTAGCCCTACCCCCATGCACTTGTGTAGATCTGAAATTATTAGATAGGTGTAACTGTAAGCAATATCCTGCAAAATTACTCATTTTTGTGTACCTTGATAGGCGTCAATCACTCCCATCGCTTCCCAAGCCACCTCTCCCTGCCCTCAGTCAAACTCCACCCCGATTGGAGCGAGATGAGAGGGAGCGGAAGGAGAAAGAGAAGGAGCAGAAAGAGAAGGAGCAGAAAGAGAGGGAGCAAAAAGAGAGGAAGCAAAAGGAAAAAGAGAAGGAGCAGAAAGAGAGGGAGCAGAAAGAGAAAGAGAGGAAACAAAAGGAAAAAGCGAGAGAGCAGAAAGAGAAAGAGAGGGAGCAGAAAGAGAAAGCGAGAGAGCAGAAAGAGAGGGAGCAAAAAGAGAAAGTGAGAGAGCAGAAAGAGAGGGAGCAGAAAAGAGAAAGGAGGAGAAGAGAAAGAGAGAGAAGAGACAAAAAGAGAAAGTGAGAGAGCAGAAAGAGAGGGAGCAAAAAGAGAAAGCGAGAGAGCAGAAAGAGAGGGAGCAAAAAGAGAAAGCGAGAGAGCAGAAAGAAAGAGCGAGAGAGCAGAAAGAGAAGGAGCAAAAAGAGAAAAGCGAGCGAGAGCAGAAAGAGAAGGAGCAAAAAGAGAAAGCGAGGAGAGAAAGCAGAAAGAAAGAGCGAGAGAGAGCAGAAGAAAGAGAAGGAGCAAAAGAGAAGCGAGAGAGAGAGAGAAGAGAAGGAGCAAAAAGAGAAAGCGAGAGAGCAGAAAGAGAAGGAGCAAAAAGAGAAAGCGAGAGAGCAGAAAGAGAAGGAGCAAAAGGAGAAAGCGAGAGAGCAGAAAGAGAAGGAGAGGGAGCAGAAGGAGCGAGAGAGGAGGGAAAAAGAAAATGAGCGAGAAATGGAAAAGGAGAGACAGCGAGAGAAGGAGAAGAAGGAAAGAGAAGAAAAAGAGAAGAGGCATCCACCACCTCAGGAGAAGGTGGAGAGAAGGAGCAGTGAAGAGGACCGAAAGAGAGTGAGGGAGGAGAAGAGAGGAGGAGGAGGAGATAAGAAGACAGAGCGCCCGTCGAGGGCGAGGCCCGTGAAGGCGGAGCCTCCACCCAAGAAGAGGAAGAAGTGGCTGAAGGAAGTCCCCTCTGACTCAGACTCCTCCCCAGATGGGCCGAGTGAGGACCAAGGTGAGGGACTGTGTATGTTTGTGTGTGTGTGTGTAACTGTATGTTAATGCAATTTTGGTATGTATATTTATATGTAATGCCTTGGCTATAATTCAGAGAGTTAATTCTTGTGACGCACTGGAGCCCCAGGTTCAAACCCACTCAGTGACATATTCTATCTCTCACTCGCTCTCTCTCTGTCTCTCTCTCTCTGTGTCTCCCTCTCTCTCTGTGTGTCTCTCTCTCTCTGTGTCTCTCTCTGTCTCTCCCCTGTAGCCCCATTGAGAGGGGGGGTGAACAGTCGAGCCATGAGGGAGATGTTCAGGAGTTATATAGAGATGCTGGTCAGTACGGCACTAGACCCCGACATGATTCAAGCCCTGGAGGACACAGATGGTGAGAGGGATGGGGTCGTGGTGTGAGCAGACGAGTGGGTGATGATGTGATCAGGTATGGGGTCAATTCAATTTCAATTCAGTCAATTCAAGAAGTAAACTGAAATTAAATTTTTCGCAATGCTTCTCTATGATAATTTGGAATTAGAATTTCAGTTTACTTCATGAATTGACTGAAATCAAAATGGAATTTACCCCAACCCTGAGTGTGAGAGAAAGAGAGTATTGATCAAAAATAAGTGAATGAGAGTAGGATTAAGGAAGAAAGATGTCATGAGATAAGTCATAAGGACTCTATGTCCCTCCCTCTCTGGCCCCCAGACGAGTTGTACCTCCCGCCCATGAGGAAGATTGACAGCCTCCTCAACGAACAAAAGAGGAGACTGTTAAGGAGAATCAACATGAGTGGCCAACACCAGGTACGTCTGTCTGTTTAGTTGTAGAAATGCTGATACCTGATGTGATACCTAATTATGAAAAGTACCTGTTGTGTTTGGAGTTTTACCATATCTCCATTCAACTTTCTCACTATCATATTGACAAGTGAAAGCTTTAAAACAGTTGAAATTACTACTTCTCCCTCTCCCTCCCTCCATCTTTATATTTTTCTTCTTTAGGAGACTCTGCATATGTTCCCCAAAATGACGGCGGACCCCCTGGACTCTGGAGTGGTCAAAGTGCACCTCGGCGGTGAGTGCTACAACCGTAAAACCCTCAACTGCATCAAGAAGAGCACCACGCCCAAACAGCAGGTGAGTGAACCACATCCGGTCACACCAATGTATCCAATCTGCTGCACTGTGGCTAACCCTGGCCTCGAAAATGGTGTCTGTGTGTTGTGGAAGCCGAGTAGAAGAGACAATTCTGTCTCACAAGAACTGGAGTAATATAGTCTGGACCTGTTAGTCACTTTGCTTTGTACATTAACTTGTATCTCAGTGGTTTTAACTCGGTCTGGATGGTGCAAACAAAGCCAAACCATGACGCCGTCCTTCTTTACACTTGCGTTGTCTCGTTCTTTCTAGTCTCGCGTAGCCATACCTCCAAAAACGTTGTTGTCACGTCCTTTGGAGGTCTGGAGAATTTTGTATAAGCCGAAACGGTTTGAATGGTCTACATCTTTAGGGATTTTACATTTCAAGAACTCTCCCCCCACATGCCCGTTGAAGGAGTGCTGCATGTTAAGCCTCGCCCAAGCAAAGCATTTGATTGATTTGATGTGTTTGATTGTGTTTGATTGGTGCTGCGTGTTAAGCTCCGCCCAAGCAATGCATTTGATCGGTTTGACGTGTTGCAAGGCGTCACTGATTGACTCCGGGTCTCCACCCCTTTTTAGCCACTTTCGGCCATAGACTTAACCAGGCTTCCTGGTTCTCGACGAGGCTGTTTCTTCTTTTAGCGTTGTACAAGTGTACTTGTATTTTTAGTGGTCCTCTGAAAGTATGTGAAGTGTGAAAACATAGTAGACTAGGCCTTTTACCTATTCTACCTCAGTCCAAGAGAACCGGGGAGATTCCCTAATAAATGTTTTCCTCTCTCCTTTCCCTCCATCCCGTTTTCCCCTCTCTCTGTGACTCTCAGGACCTCAAGCTGTCCACAGAGACGTGTCGTGTCTATAGCCTGTATCATTCCCTCCATCACTACAAGTATCACACCTTCCTGAACTGCAAGAAGGAGGTAAGACTCAGCAGCACAATCGCTTTTCACAACACTGACCTTCCAACACCCCTCTCTTTTCTCTACGGCATTGTTGTTCTTCTCTACTTTCTTCCTGTTTCTCTCTCTCTCTCCCCTCTCTCTCTCTGTTTCCATTGTGGTACGAATAATTCAAATGGAGCACTGGGTATTCACTTTTGTTGTGAAAGGTTGGCTGTCATATGTGGGTGGCTGTGTTGTGCTTGTATAAACATAATCACTTTATTATCCATCCTAGAGTGGATATTTGATTTGAATAGCATCAATTCATGTTAGATGTATATGCAACATGTCTATACTCTGGCCTTGAAGACTGAATAAAGCGGTAAATAGATGTAGAGAAATATAATTGAGAATAAAGGTTTTGAAGTATGGTAAAATACACTACATGACCAAAAGTATGTGGACACCTGCTCATCTAACATCTCATTCCAAAATCATGGGCATTAATATGGAGTTGGTCCCCCTTTTGCTGCTTTAACAGCCTCCACTCTTCTGGGAAGGCTTTCCACTAGATGTTGGAACATTGCTGCGGGGACTTGCTTCCATTCAGCCACAAGAGCATTAGTGAGGTCGGGCACTGATGTTGGGCGATTAGGCCTGGCTCGCAGTCAGCCTTCCAATTAATCTCAAAGGTGTTCGATGGGGTTGAGGTCAGGGCTCTGTGCAGGCCAGTCAAGTTCTTCCAAACCGATTTCAATAAACCATTTCTGTATGGATCTCGCTTTGTGCACGGTAGCATTGTCATGCTGAAACAGGAAAGGGGCTTCCCCAAACTGTTGCCACAATGTTGGAAGCACAGAATCGTCTAGAATGTCATTGTATGCTGAGCGTTAAGATTTCCCTTCACTGGAACCAAGGGGCCTAGCCCGAACAATGAAAAACAGCCCCAGACCATTATTCCTCCTCCACCAAACATTACAGTTGGTACTATGCATTGGGGCAGGTAGCGTTCTACTGGAATCCGCCAAACCCAGATTTGTCCGTCGAACTGCCATATGGTGAAGCGTGATTCATCACTCCAGAAAATGCATTTCCACTGCTCCAGAGGCCAATGGCGGCAAGCTTTACAACACTCCAGCCGGCACTTGGCATTGTGCATGGTGATCTTAGGCTTTTGTGCGGCTGCTCGAACAGTTCTTGTGCTGACTTTGCTTCCAGAGGCAGTTTGGAACTCGGTAGTGAGCGTTGCAACCGAGGACAGACCATTTTTTACGCGCTACGTGCTTCAGCACTCGCCGGTCCCGTTCTGTGAGCTTATGTGGCCTACCACTTCGCGGCTGAGCCGTTGTTGCTCCTAGACGTTTCCACTTCACAATAACAGCACTTAGAGTTGTTAGGCCAGCTCTAGCAGGGCAGAAATTTGACAAACTGACTTGTTGGAAGGGTGGCATCCTATGATGGTGCCACGTTGAAAGTCACTGAGTTCTTCAGTAAGGCCATTCTACTGCTAATGTTTGTCTATGGAGATTGCATTGCTGTGTGCTGGATTTTATACACCGAATCCACTAATTTGAAGAGCCGCATACTTTTGTATATATACTGTAAATAATAATAATAATAATTATCTTTCTTGGATAATAATAATATATTCTATTCTCTTTCTCTATCCCCCCCAGACGGACAGTATAGAGCAGGCAGCGGAGGACCCTGGTCAGGAGGAGGTGGTGCAGCAGTGTATGGCCAACCAGGACTGGCTGGAGACCCTCTTCAACTCCTTCATCGACCTGCTGACCCTCAGCACCAAAACCTGATGAGGGAGGAGGGGGCCGTGTCCGAAATATTACCCTATTCCCTACATAGAGCACTACAATTCCCCAGGGCCTATATGGAGAATAGGGTGCCATTTGGAAAGCAGAATGTGGGTTGGAGAAGGGAGGGGAGGGAGGAGGTATACAGTATTTGGGAGACAAAGCAAGAGAGTTGGAGTGGAGAACACTGGACTGTACCAAGATGGAGAGAGAGGGGGGTTTCAGACCCTACCACTCTAGTTCTTGCCCAGCGAGAAAGAGAGAACAGGCTATGTTTGGTCTGTGAGTACGGTTGAGTTTTAACTTAAAATGGATGCTACAATGAACTGTTTTTAGCAGTTTTTTTTTTTTTTCTCTCACAAAGTATCTCTTGACTAAAGAAAAGAGAAGGACTGAGGAGGAGGCGGAGTGAAAATAGTGAATGTGTGAAAGGGTACGACGTCTGCCACTTGACCTGAACGGGGAAAGCAGGAGACCACCGTGAATCAGTCAGCACTACAGGAAAGATTGCGATCTACATCCAAACATGCACGGGCACACACACATACACACATAAATACACACACGCACACACACACCAACATACAAACACTATATATATACGTATATGTATTAATAATTATGATTTGTATTATTTATACAAGGAAATTACCCTCCCTAGCTGGGATTGTTTGCTGTTGTTATTTTAAATAATGTTTTTTATTAGGGTATACATGAAATGGCCTACCCGAAATCCTTTGCTCAGTCCCCCTTTACTGCTGAAGGAAGAAACGAGTGGAGGGGAGCAAAACTGAGGTGAAGGGAGGGAGGGGAGAGGGAGGTGAGAGGAGTGTGTGATGTTCCCTTTTTTCTGTCTGCCTAAATAAATTGTGAGGGGGGAAAATGTATTTAAAAACTAAGCAAACTGTGTTCTTTATGTTTGTTCTTCAAAAGACAATGAGAGCAGAGTTTACACCTGAAGTTAATAAATTAAAATAAATATCTGTTCGCTTTCTAAAAGAAAGCACTGTGGTTTTAGGGAGGTGTAACGGTTAAAAAGCGTATAAAATCTGTGTTGACTGTTTTTATTTGATCTGTTTGTTGTTTATGATAATTATTATTTTTGAGGTTTACCTATTTGTTCAAGCTCTTTTTTTCTCTGTAAATATTGTACAGTTATTTCAGTCTCTAAAGCCCAGTTCCTCTTCTGTACATGATATTCCTGTATTTGACAAAAGCAAATAAAAAATTGAAAATGATGAAAATGACAGGGAAAAACAACTTTAGCTGTAATTTTGTTTTTCCTCCTAAAACTTTATAAGAGAATGCATTATAGTAAGTGTGTGGTTGACCACATATCAGGGTTGAGGTCAAATCCATTTAAATTCACTGAAATTGCAGTTCCAATGAGACATTTTTTGAAATTGGAATTGGAATTTGGTGTACTTTCTGATTTGGCTGGAAATATGATTTTCCCAACCCTGGACCACATGTACTATTGTTAGTAAAGTACACTATATATACACAAGTATGTGGACACCCCTTCAAATGAGTGGATTCGGCTATTTCAGCCACACCCGTTGCTGACAGGTGTATCAAATTGAACACACAGCAATGCAATCTCCATAGACAAACATTGGCAGTAGAATGGCCTTACAAATGTATTCCCTGCTAGAGGTGTCCCGGTCAACTGTAAGTGCTGTTATTGTGAAGTGGAAACGTCTAGGAGCAACAACGGCTCAGCCACGAAGTGGTAGGCCACATAAGCTCACAGAACGGGACCGGCGAGTGCTGAAGCACGTAGCGCGTAAAGAATGCTCTGTCCTCGGTTGCAACGCTCACTACTGAGTTCCAAACTGCCTCTGGAAGCAAAGTCAGCACAATAACTGTTCGAGCAGCCGCACAAAAGCCTAAGATCACCATGCACAATGCCAAGTGTCGGCTGGAGTGGGGTAAAGCTTGCCGCCATTGGCCTCTGGAGCAGTGGAAACGCGTTTTCTGGAGTGATGAATCGCGCTTCACCATATGGCAGTCTGACGGACAAATCTGGGTTTGGCGGATGCCAGTAGAACGCTACCTGCCCCAATGCATAGTGCCAACTGTAATGTTTGGTGGAGGAGGAATAATGGTCTGGGGCTGTTTTTCATTGTTCGGGTTAGGCCCCTTGGTTCCAGTGAAGGGACATCTTAACACTCAGCATACAATGACATTCTAGATGATTCTGTGCTTCCAACTTTGTGGCAACAGCTTGGGGAAGCACCTTTCCTGTTTCAGCATGACAATGCTGCCGTGCACAAAGCGAGATCCATACAGAAATGGTTTATTGAGATCGGTTTGGAAGAACTTGACTGGCCTGCACAGAGCCCTGACCTCAACCCCATCGAACACCTTTGAAATGAATTGGAACGCAGACTGCGAGCCAGGCCTAATCGCCCAACATCAGTGTCCGACCTCACTAATGCTCTTGTGGCTGAATGGAAGCAAGTCCCCGCAGCAATGTTCCAACATCTAGTGGAAAGCCTTCCCAGAAGAGTGGAGGCTGTTATATCAGCAAATGGGGGACCAACTCCATATTAATGCCCATGATTTTGGAATGAGATGATGGACGAGCAGTTGTCCACATACTTTTGGTCATGTGGTGTATGTTGACCTGAAATTGTCTGAAAAAATACAGGAATGAAACAGCTCAGATTGGGGACGAGGGGATATAACAAAGGTGGGTAGGGTTTTAGAGGTACAGACTGATCCAAAAGAGAGGAATATAAAGACAGCAAATAAATCAAATGGAGATGCTGTGTATGAGTAAGTCCCCAGCAAACCAAAATTGTTTATTTGAAAGTTCCCAGAACATTCGTTAGGTTGAGGCAAATGTTCTCAAATCAGAAACTGTCCAGTTGTGCGGATGATTATACAATGTACAGTGGGGAGAACAAGTAATTGATACACTGCCGATTTTGCAGGTTTTCATACTTACAAAGCATGTAGAGGTCTGTAATTGTTATCATATGTACACCTCAACTGTGAGAGATGGAATCTAAAACAAAAATCCAGAAAATCACATTGTATGATTCTTAAGTAATTAATTTGCATTTTATTGCATGACATAAGTATTTGATACATCAGAAAAGCAGAACTTAATATTTGGTACAGAAACCTTTGTTTGCAATTACAGAGATCATACGTTTCCTGTAGGTCTTGACCAGGTTTGCACACACTGCAGCAGGGATTTTGGCCCACTCCTCCATACAGACCTTCTCCAGATCCTTCAGGTTTCGGGGCTGTCGCTGGGCAATACAGACTTTCAGCTCCCTCCAAAGATGTTCTATTGGGTTCAGGTCTGGAGACTGGCTAGGCCACTCCAGGACATTGAGATGCTTCTTACGGAGCCACTCCTTAGTTGCCCTGGCTGTGTGTTTCGGGTCGTTGTCATGCTAGAAGACCCAGCCACGACCCATCTTCAATACTCTTACTGAGGGAAGGAGGTTGTTGGCCAAGATCTCGCGATACATGGCCCCTTCCATCCTCCCCTCAATACGGTGCAGTCGTCCTGTCCCCTTTGCAGAAAAGCATCCCCAAAGAATGATTTTTCCACCTCCATGCTTCACGGTTGGGATGGTGTTCTTGGGGTTGTACTCATCCTTCTTCTTCCTCCAAACACGGCGAGTGGAGTTTAGACCAAAAAGCTCTATTTTTGTCTCATCAGACCACATGACCTTCTCCCATTCCTCCTCTGGATCATCCAGATGGTCATTGCAAACTTCAGACGGGCCTGGACATGCGCTGGCTTGAGCAGGGGGACCTTGCGTGCGCTGCAGGATTTTAATCCATGACGGCGTAGTGTGTTACTAATGGTTTTCTTTGAGACTGTGGTCCCAGCTCTCTTCAGGTCATTGACCAGGTCCTGCCGTGTAGTTCTGGGCTGATCCCTCACCTTCCTCATGATCATTGATGCCCCACGAGGTGAGATCTTGCATGGAGCCCCAGACTGAGGGTGATTGACCGTCATCTTGAACTTCTTCCATTTTCTAATAATTGCGCCAACAGTTGTTGCCTTTTCACCAAGCTGCTTGCCTATTGTCCTTACACAGCTCTCTGGCAAATTAATTACTTAAAAATCATACAATGTGATTTTCTGGATTTGTGTTTTAGATTCCGTCTCTCACATTTGAAGTGTACCTATGATACAAATTACAGACCTCTACATGCTTTGTAAGTAGGAAAACCTGCAAAATCAGCAATCAAATACTTGTTCTCCCCACTGTATGTATAAAACATTTGCCTGCTGTTGCAAGAACGTTCCCTTTCACATTTAGTTGCGGCAGTATGTTCTAAAAATATTACTGGTACATTGTGTTATTACATTAACTGGAAACCTAATGAGAACGTTTGGGAAATGTTTGGTGGTGGTTATTACAGATTGTTGTGCACAACATTTTAGTGAATGAGAACATTCCAAGGATATTTAATTGAAAAAGTTTTCTGGAAGAAAATAATAATTTGTTATCAAAACATTATTTGAATGCTTTTGGGATGTTATCATCCTATTGTTAGATAAAATCTTAACTAGAACTTAATGGGAATCTTATTACGCCAGTTACAAGTCTGCATCTGTGAAGTTTCTGATCCAATCAATTTAATAATTTATTCTGTGTGAAAATGCTGACAAAACGTATTTTCTGTGACAGCCCCAGAAGAGTTTCAGAGGATTTTACCCCTATTGATTATTTTTCCTATCCAAGGCAGACACTGTGACAGTACTGTACAGCAGGAATGGTTTATTTATATTTCAACATGAGAAACCATATGCATTTTACACTACAGCAAATGTTGGAGGGGAAAGGAAGTATATACACAGAAGAATGAATGACAACATGTTGGAAGAGAAAAATGCATGTTACTCAAAAGTAGTGATACCCTTTCCCTTCACTTGACAGGGACAGACACCTGCACAATAACTGCTCCCACATCATTGATTACAATCATCATGTACCTGTTATTCCCTCTCCAGTCCAATTGTGATATATGTTCCACATTGGGATAATGTCCTCAGAGTGGAGTGTCTCCTTGTTTGGGTGGAGTGTACAATTACAGGTACAGGAACACACAAACACACCACACACTCAACCAGATCTTTCCCCCTGTTACAAGCAAATGGCATTGCACACTTGGACATATGTGGGGGTATCTCCAGGAGAGGAACCAGAGTGGAAAATAGAGGATATGGAAGGTAAACAACGATTGCCAAGGAATCTGAGGACTCTATTCTCTGCTCCTTGTCCTTTCTCTAGCGTTTTTCTTTTCTTGATGAATGTACCTGGCTAAACAGTGATTCTAAGAGTGGTATTTTGGTGGGTGATGCTACCGTATACAGTACATTCAGACTAGTGCTACACATACTGACAGATGAGGTGGGGTACAGAAACACGCTTCAAAGTAAAGTGCTTTCAGGTAAATGGATGAAAGGCGCTATATCAGTGGTGTAAAGTAACTAAGTAAAAATACTTTGAAGTACTACTTAAGTATTTTTGGGGGCTATCTATACTTTAATATTTATATTTTGTACAATTTTTACTTTTACTCCACTACATTCCTAAAGAAAATATGTAGTTTTTACTCCCATACATTTTCCCTGACACCCAAAAGTACTTGTTACATTTCGAATGCTTAGCAGGACAGGAAATGTGTCTAATTCACGCACTTATCAAGAAAACAGGTGGTCATCCCTACAGCTTCTGATCTGGTGGACTCACTAAACACAAATGCTTTGTTTGTGAATGATGTCTGAGTGTTGGAGTGTGCCCCTGGCTATCCATAAAAAAATCAAATAAATTGTTCTGTTTGGTTTGCCTAATTTAAGGAATTTGAAAGGATTTATAGCATTTACTTTTAATTTTGATACTTAAGTACAGTACCAGTCAAAAGTTTGGACACACCTACTCATTCCAGGGTTTGTCTTTATTTTTACTATTTTCTACATTGTAGAATAATAGTGAAGACATCCAAACTATGAAATAACACATATGGAATCATGTAGTAACCAAAAGAGTGTTAAACAAATCAAAATATATTTCATATTTGAGATTCTTCAAAGTAGCCACCCTTTGCCTTGATGACAGCTTTGCACACTGTTGGCATTCTCTCAACCAGCTTCATGAGGTAGTCACCTGGAATGCATTTCAATTAACATGTGTGCCTTGTTAAAAGTTAATTTGGGGAATTTATTTCCTTCTTAATGCGTTTGAGTCAATCAGTTGTGTTGTGACAAGGTAGGGGTGGTATACAGAAGATAGCCCTATTTGGTAAAATACCAAGTCCATATTATGGCAAGAACAGCTCAAATAAGCAAAGAGAAACGACAGTCCATCATTACTTTAAGACATGAAGGTCAGTCAATGCGGAAAATGTCAAGAACTTTGTTCAAGAAGTTTCTTCAAGTACAGTTGCAAAAACCATCAAGCGCTATGATGAAACTGGCTCTCATGAGGACCGCCACAGGAAAGGAAGACCCAGAGTTACCTCTGCTGCAGAGGATAAGTTCATTAGTGTTAACTGCACCTCAGATTGCAGCCCAAATAAATGCTTCACATAGTTCAAGTAACAGACACATCTCAACATCAATTGTTCAGAGGAGACTGTGAATCAGGCCTTCATGGTCGAATTGCTGCAAATAAACCACTACTAAAGGACACCAATAAGAAGAAGAGACTTGCTTCGTCCAAGAAACACGAGCAATGGACATTAGACCGGTGGAAATCTGTCCTTTGGTCTGATGAGTCCAAATGTGAGATTTTTGGTTCCAACCGCCATGTCTTTTTGAGACGCAGAGTAAGTGAACGGATGATCGCCGCATGTGTGGTTCCCACCGTGAAGCATGGAGGAGGAGGTGTGATGGTGCTTTGCTGGTGACACTGTCTGTGATTTATTTAGAATTCAAGGCACACTTAACCAGCATGGCTACCACAGCATTCTGCAACGATACGCCATCCCATCTGGTTTGGGCTTAGTGGGACTATAATTTGTTTTTCAACAGGACAATGACCCAAAACACACCTCCAGGCTGTGAAAGGGCTATTTGACCAAGAAGGAGAGTGATGGAGTGCTGCATCAGATGACCTGGCCTCCACAATCACCCGACCTCAACCCAATTGAGATGGTTTGGGATGAGTTGGACTGCAGAGTGAAGGAAAAGCAGCCAACAAGTGCTCAGCATATGTGGGAACTCCTTCACGACTGTTGGAAAAGCATTGAGAGAATGCCAAGAGTGTCATCAAGGCAAAAGGTGGCTACTTAAATTTGGATTTGTTTAACACTTTTTTGGTTACTACATGATTCCATATGTGTTATTTCATAGTTTTGATGTCTTCACTATTATTCTACAATTTAGAAAATAGTAAAAAAATAAAGAAAAACCCTTGAATGAGTAGGTGTGTCCAAACATTTGACTGGTACTGTATATTTAAAACCAGATACTTTTAGACATATTATTCTTTTACTGGGTGACTTTCACTTTTACTTGAGTCGTTTTCTATTACTTTTACTCAAGTGTGACAATTGGGTACTTTTTCCACCACTGTGCTATATAAATACAAACCAACCTCTATCTCTCTTCCTCACCCTCTCTTCATCATCCTATGCTGTAACTTCATTCTATACAGTAACTTCTTGTAATCTTTATTTTCTCTCCTCCCTACTTTTCCCTCTCTTCCTCACTCTCTCCCTCTGATTCCTCCTCTTCCACAGTGCTCCCCCTCATCTGACCACACAGGGGCTCCAGTCTCCCCCCTGTCGTTACTCCCACTGGTTGGATGATCTTGTCCCTGAGAGAGACAGAGGGAGAGAAAGAGAAAGATAGAAAGAGAGAGAGAGAGAAAGAGAGAGAAAGAGAGAGAGAGAGAGAGAGAGAGAGAGGAGAGAGAGAGAGAGAGAGAGAGGAGAGAGAGAGAAATGGCAACATCCATCTATTTCACACACTTGGATAGTCACTAGCTAAAACAGATATGTACTCACACACACACACACACACACACACAACACGCACACACGCACTCACCGTGAGAGCCTGTTGAACAGGCTGATGAGTCTTTGTGCCTCCTGCTCTTTCTCCTGCTCTGTCATTCCCTCCATGGGGTCTGGCTGCTCCTTCTCCACCCTCCCCGTCACTGGGTTGATGCGCCCCTTAGCTTCCCTGTGGAACACAGTTACAAACACCTCCCTTGTAAATACTGTCCACTCCTAACAAGTGCACTTCATAGGGTTCTGCTAAACACTTTCCCAGTCTCAATTCAATTACCTTTTTCGAAAATTGCTCCTGTTGCTTGTTCCGATTTATGCTGTTTCGATAGTTCCAAGTCCAATCTATTAGTCCCTAACGATGCATTGTGTCCCTATACAGTATTACAAAGTGTTGTGTTTGTGACATTATCAATTGTTGTTCTACACACCTGTATTCCTCTGTGTCAGAGTCTGAGTCGCTAGAGTACTGGGCGTGGGTCACCTGACCTCCACTCAGCATGCCCCGCGCTGCCAGCAAACCTGCTGCATTACCATAGCCTGTGTACTTCACAAAACGACTCACTGAGAGACAGACAGAGAGTGAGAAGAGGGAGAGAGTTATATGAGTTACTACATGTGCTATGAGGGGTAATAAGCATGCTGTGATACGAGTGGGTTCTTCTAGCTAAGAGTTACTTTGAAATGAGGAGCTAGTAAGTGTGACAGGAGTGTGATATGATATGGGCACCGTTCTCTTTGCAGAGCACAAAGAGGAGCTCGGCAGCACAGTGCTTGATGTCCGTGTCCACGTGGGTCATCAGGCGCACCAGACGTCCCCTTACTGTGGCACCCTGCTCCGGCCTCAGGGCCACATCCCTCAGAGGGGGGAGGATCTGTAGCAGTGTACAGGTAGAGGCAGGTGTTAGTGCTGTGTGGGAGCAAAAACCTGCTCAACCAGTCAGCTGCTATCCAGGAGGGGACAGACAGCGGCTCCAATATCAAAAGTCGAAGCAGGCTTCTCCAACAATGTAAACCGAACATCAGACTAGCATTATCATACTGTATTAAAGCCACAATAATCAGTTGGAGTTTCAGCCCAACAGGAGAGAACAGTACCTGTTGTCTGAGGTAGTGGCGTGTCTCGCGGTGCGCACGGCAGCTCTCAGTCAACAGATTCAGGACTGGAGTCAGTTTCTCCTTCAACTTCTGACCCTTCATAACAAATACATAGGTGATTTTGTCAGCTTATGACCCTTTATAAACATCCAGTATGCTTCCATAGCTATATACTATTGAGATGCAACCCTCCACTGCACACCATGGGGAAGCAAACAGCATCCTCATATGAGATAGGTGCCTCCTTTCCTCCCCACTTTCCTCTCTCTCTCAATCCCTCCCTCCCTCTGCCTCACCCTGTCCAGGCGTCTCTCCATGAAGGTGAGTAGGGTGTGGACAGTGTCCATGTTGACCCCCTCCCACTCCTGTGAACTCTCCGTCAGATGCACAGACAGCAGCACGTCCAGACATTGCAGGGGCAGGGCAGAGAGCACGTTCACTGTGTGCCTAAGGAGGGTTATAGGTTAAAGGTCAAAGGTTAAGGGTCAGGGATCAGAGGTAAGGAGACATGGGGAAAACCTGAAATGGCACCCATTTCAAAATGATTCAGAACATATCTTTTCCACTTTGCCACGAAAAAGGAAACCTAGAATGGCCACCATTACTTTCAAAAGAAAGATGCAAATAGAAATGCATGGATAGACAACAGAAGAAGCCCTCGTACGTACCCCTGTAACTCCTCAGTGAGTTCTTCTCCGTCACAGGTCAGCAGCAGGCAGTGACGTAGCACTGCAGCCAGGCGGCGATAGAGAGCTGCATCCTCCTGAGAGGGACATAAAGAGAAGAGGACAAGTTAAAAAGGCCTCCTGACCACAGTTCTAGGATCAGTTTTAACTAACCCTCACTCTTAACTTAAAAAATACTGGATCAGTATTTTGAGACAGCTCCTAGCTACCTACTCCTACCTACTCAGAAACTAAAAGCCAGGGATGCTCCATAGAAGACGGACAAGGTACAGATATTGGAGTAGATCATGCTATAGGGACAAAGCCACATTTTAATTCTATGGGACTCTCCTCCACCCACCTCGTCTGGCTCCTGTCTGTGGAAGCTGTATGTGATGTTGAACAGGGTCTTGAGGATCTCCACAGCCCGCTGTGACACTTCCTTAGAGACAGGGGGAGCTCTGTGGTCGCTCAGCACCTCGTACTCTTCCCCCCACTGCACAGACAGACACTGCTCCAGAGCTGCAGTCAGTATGGACACCCCTCGCTCCTGACAGGGGGAGACAGGGGGATATGGAGAGAGAGAAAAGAAAGACAGATGGAGAGAGTGGCATACAGTAGGCCTACCCACCCCAAATCATACCCCTAACCATTAGCAGGGAAACCACAACTCCATCCTCCTCTAGGCTGTTACCTGCTGCAGTTGCACCCTGAGCTCTGGTCTCAGAGCCGTCAGCAGAAAGAGCAGCCGTAGTTCATAAAACTGACCACTGTGAAGAGCTTTGGCACTGATCCCCTGCTTCAGCCTGTCTGATAGACCATAGAGCAGTCTGAGAGAGAGAGAGAGAGAGAGAGAGAGAGAGAGAGAGAGAGAGAGAGAGAGAGAGAGAGAGAGAGAGAGAGAGAGAGAGAGAGATGAGGGAAGTGATGCCATACTATAAATCGTTTTTGTTGTACTCCAACAGTTGCTCTCCCTTACCTCAGAGCGCTGACCCTCTCTTGCGCCCTCTGACTGTTGTAGATGATATTACACAGGGCTTTCAGGGCTTCCCTCCTCCCCTCCTGGTCATCTTCCTCTTTCTCTTCTTCATCCTCCTCTTCATCCCTCTCTTCATCCCTCTCTTCCCGGGCATGACCCGGAGAGCAGTGGTGCTGGGCAGTGCAGGTTTCCGTGGAGACAGAGCGCAGGTTGCCATGGCAGGTTTCCGTGCTGAGGGTGCAGCAGGGGTCCCTGGCCACCGATGGCAATGTCATCGCTCCACCTTGGCTGTTGTTGGCCGTAACCAGGGCTGGACAGGTCTGAGTGGAAGCCTGGGCCAAGGAGTGCTGGGTCGGGCTAGCACCGACAACGTTAGCATCCACGTTGCTAACCGCTAACGAGCTAGTATTAGCATTAGCGCCCCTACTGCACCCACCCGTGTCGCTCTGTTTACAGGCATCCGAACTGACGTCACTAAGGACATGGCCGTAATCTTCTCTCTCAGCATCATGACCTTCCTCCTCGTCTTCCTCCTGGCCCTCGGGGATGGGCAGGGAGGTTATGCCGCCCAGGTGGGCTAGGGTGAGGAGAGCGGTGTCGGTCACTAGGGGTGCCAAAGCCTGCCGGTCGCGGGACAGGATACGTAGCGTACGCAGGGTCACTCTCAGAACCCCCGGCTGGAGCTGGGTACGGATAAACCACACCAGGGCTGCAGCCAACCTCTGGGGAGAGGAGAGGAGAATTGAGTTTAACCGAAAAGAGCAACAGGTAGAAATAGAGAAACACATGCACACACACACCCTAACTCACCCGTCTGAGAAGGAGATCCGGGTCCTCAGCGTCATCTGAGTCTGAGTTGAAATCAGAGTCCGAGTCGGGAACAAAGTCCCTCATTTTGTTCTTCCTGAACTGGTGAGGGTTAATGGGGGAGTATGTTGAGTCATTACACACAATTAGCTTTGGAGTACACACACATACACACACACACTTACATAGGCCACACACACGCACACACTCATAGGCACGCACGCACTTACACACACGCACACACCCACTAATAAAACACTGCGCTGAATGGAGATTAGTGTAAGGTAGAGTAAGGACCTGTCAGCTCAGCTCTCCCCCTCCCTCTCCCTCCCTCTATGTCTCGCTCTCTTCCTTTTTCTCTCTATTCCTTTCTCTCTGGCATGGCATGGGTCCTCAGATCCTCAGATCCTCAGATCCTCAAAAAATTCTACAGCTGCACCATCGAGAGCATCCTGACTGGTTGCATCACCACCTGGTATGGCAAATGCTCGGCCTCCGACCGCAAGGCACTACAGAGGGTAGTGCGTACGGACCAGTACATCACTGGGGCCAAGCTTCCTGCCATCCAGGACCTCTATACCAGGCGGTGTCAGAGTAAGGCCCTCAAAATTGTCAAAGACTCCAGCCACCCTAGTCATAGACTGTTCTCTCTGCTACCGCACGGCAAGCGGTATCTGTTTCTCTCTCCCCTGTATCCCCCCCCCCCTCTCTCTCTCTCTCTCTCTCTCTCTCTCTCTCTGTATCTCTCTCTCTCTCTCTTTCTCTCTCTGATGGTGTAATGAGTCTTTGTCTTTTTACCTCATCCAGCTCTTTTTGCTGCAGTCATTTGCACAGCCAAAGAAGACATAGAAATGATGAGTAATGACGTCATTAACATTATGAAGAGATATGACAGAGAGAGAAGAGTGGAAGAGAAGGGGATGACATGAGAGAGGGAGAAGAGGGGATGAGAGGGTGAAGATCACTGTAAGGGAGGGAGGGGAAAGAACCATCCCACTGGACAAAAACTGTTTGAATCAACATTGTTTCTACATCATTTCAACAAAAATATTAAATGTGATAACGTTGAATCAACTTGGAAAACTGATTGGATTTGCAAGAAGTCATCAACATAAGGGAATTATGTCTTTTTTTCACCCAACTTTTAACCTAAATTCAATGACATGGTGACCTTTTTTGTTGATTTCACATTCAATTCACGTTATTTGACAACATAAACAAATGTAAATCAAAACTAGATATTGAAATGACGTTTGTGCCCAGTGGGATGTAAGAAAGAGAGAGAAAGAAAGAGAGAAAGAAAGAAAGAGAACTGCAGATAGACAGGACAGCGAGATAGGGAGGGGAGGAGAACGACAGGGATGGAGTATAAGTGAAAGAGGGAGATTAAGATGAGTGGCGGGGGATGAGCAGGATTCTGACTAATTACATGGTTAATCTGAGCCTCTGGTGGCCTGACACTGAGAGGACATGGACAGGCCATGGGAATAGACAGAGAGAGAGATAGGGAAGGACAGAGGGAGGAAGAAATAGAAAGTAAGGGATGACGGAAGAATGAAAGAGAGAGAGGCAACGGAGAAATTATGCAAAGGAATGACAGAAATAAAGAATAGTTCAAGTCTTTTCTTTGTCCTCACCTTTCTTCTTTCCCTCTCCTCAATATTGAAGAAGAAGCATTCAGCATACTGTGGAGAAGATGGGGGGGGGGGGGGGGGGGATATGTGGGAGGGAGGGAGAAAGATAATTGGAAAGGGAAAGAGAAGGAGAGGGTATAAGAATACAGTCAAGGATACATGGTTTAGTCATGGAGTATTGTAGTCATGGAAACAGACAGCCCCATGGTGTGTTAGTCATGGTTACAGACAGTTGTTTACAGTAGTGTGGTAGTCACAGTAACACAGGCAGTGTAGTACCTGAGTGTTGTAGTGGTCCAGGTGTGTCTGGACACTGACCTGGTCTCCTTGTTTGATGCACTGAATGATCCTCTCCAAGTCCATATCCATGCTTTCACACACACACACACACACACCATTACAATGCTGAACCAAAGCAGTGTGATCAAGCATTACTTTTCATCCTAACATACAAGATTCAATACTATCACCTTCAGTCATGCAATAGCAGCACACATTCCACCTACATCTACACCCCACAAACCTGGTGTCCCTTCAATGGCAGGATACAGATAGCAACCTTGGTCTTGTCTCTTTGTCTCTCTGTGTTTCTCTGTGCAGTTTCTATCTCCTAAACCCTGTATGTAATCTAATCTAATCTCCCTCACCTCTTTCTCGCTCTCTCCCTCTCTCTCTCTTTTCACAGTACAATAGGCCATGGATTATATTGTGAACAGTGACTAGTAAATGGACAGAGACTGACAGGAAAATAAGGAATGTTTCACAGATTAGAAATTGGAACAATACAGAGAAGATAGCCTGGTAGTGAAGGGAAAGCAAAAGCGTGAGGAAATGAAGGGATGCTTCACAAATGAGAATGTTTTTATATTTTATCTTCCTCATAGACAGACAGACAGACAGACTTTTAGGAGAGTAAGTGGTCACCATCAAAGAGATAGAGGAAGAGAAAAGACGGCAAAAAATGAGAGGAGGGCGCGTTGACAAGGTACTATTACTGCTCATACCTGTTAAAGAAGGGGGGGGAGGGGGGGGGGGGGGGGGGGGGGGTGAAAAGACAGTTGTGGAAAGGGGGAGTCGGAGAGATGAAAGCCTGTGAGCCTATTTACTAATAAGGGTAATTAAAAACAGAAAGAGGTATGGAGGGATGGATGGATAGATGGAGGGAGGGATGACGGGAATGGGGGTAATTATGAATGCTCTTAGTGAGGATCTGTCTTTTTCAGCCATTGATTTCCTGTGTTTCAGTGGTGCAAAATCCACTTGTCACTTAAACCTTGATGGATTGATTGCTTTCATTTTACTCCTGTGAGTTTGATACTCTTGCATGTGCCTGTTGTTTTTTTCCGTTAACGTTATGACCGCGGAAATCTTTCCGTTGCATCCAAGAACGCTAATGCTTCATTGGGGACTTAACACATCTTCTTGACACTTACATCACAAGAAAGAGAAGAACATATGTAGGTAAATCATTGACATAATGATTTGAGCGTGTAAAATAGATTTGTAGTAGTATACACAATTTGCAAGTGTGTAACTGATGAGTTGTTAACATGAAATAGTAATCTGTAGTTGTAAAAACATTCTCAAACGTGTAACTGATGAGTTGTGAACATAAAAATAAAGATTGTAGCAATAATTGCATCTGTATACCCGCGCATGTCAGTTTTGCATGCTCAGACTTTTGGCAGTGCTTTTTACCATGACAAAAATATTTGTAGATGTGCAAACAGCGATTTGCAAGGAGAGAGAGAGCGAGAGTGTCACGACTTCCGCCGAAGTTGGTGCCTCTCCTTGTGTGGCCGGCTATCGGCGGTCGTCGTCACCGGCTTTCTAGCTGCCACCGATCTACGTTTCTTTTTCTATGTTGTTTTGTCTTGATTGTACACACCTGGTTCCCATCACGTTATGAATATTTCCCTATTTAACCCTCTGCTTCCCTCATGGTTTTGTGCGTGATTGTTCTATGTTTGGTGTTGTCTACTGTTGTGAGCTGTTTTATATCCCTGCGTGGAAATTAGATTTGTTGTTTTGCGAGTAAAGTTTGTTTATTACTCAGTTCTGTGTCCTGCGCCTGACTCCGTCCTAACCGCTGCACACTAACACCTGACAGAATCACGCACCCGCTATGGAGTCAGCAGGTGCACCCAGTCCTCCGGTACCGGTGGAGGAGCGCGTCCAGCAGCACAAGCTGGGCACAGCAATGGATCGCGTGCTGCACACCATGGAGCGATGGGAGAGAGAGGGGTTTTCCACACCCCCATCAACTTCACCTCAAACCCCACCACTGTCCACCCCTCCGTCACCTGGACCCAGTGGGATTCGGCTCTCGCTCCCGAAGGCCTATGATGGGACGGCTTCCGGGTGCCAGGGGTTCCTGCTCCCGGTCTACCTGGCGACCGGTCAATCTCCATCTCCACACCTGACGCGGACAGGCGGTGTCCTAGGAAGGAGATGGACTCTTGGAAGAACAGACATTTCTCCGCCTTCACATACAGGTCATGCTCCAACAGTCGACCAAGCACCTGACCCACCAGGGACACATGCTCGGCCTGTGTAGCGGAGTATATGAGAATGTCATCTATATACACCACTACACCCTCTCCGTGCAGGTCCCTGAAAATCTCATCAACAAAAGATTGGAAGACTGATGGAGCATTCATCAAACCGTATGGCATGACGAGGTACTCATAGTGCCCAGAGGTGGTACTAAATGCTGTCTTCCACTCATCTCCCTCCCGGATACACACCAGGTTGTACGCGCTCCTGAGATCCAATTTCGTGAAGAAGCGCGCCCCGTGCAATGACTCCGTCATACTCGCAATCAGAGGTAGTGTCACGGTTTCGGCCGAGGCTGCCTCTCTCCCTTGTTCGGGGCAGGCTTCGGCGTTCGTCGTCTCCGGAATTCTAGCTGCCACCGTTGTATGTTTCATGTTCGTTTGCTTTTGTCTGTTTGTTTTCACACCTGTTTTCTATTTTGGGCGTAATTAGTGTCCTATAAGTTTCTCGTTGTGTTTGTCTAGTGTTGTGTGTAATTGATTTTCGTCAGTCGTGTGTTTCGCTCGGTTGAGCTTCTCTCCACTGCGCTGGAGTATTTTCGCACCTGTTTGTGCGCTGTTACTATTTCGCCTTCGTGCGTATTTTCGCCTTCGGGCCAGTTGTCCTTTTGCCTTGGTTTTGGCTTTAATACAAGTCTTTGGATTATCGTTCTGAGTCCTGCGTTTGATTCCACCACTACACCTACAGCACGCCCTGACAGAATTACACACCTACCATGGAATCAGCAGGAGCCGAAGCAGGACAGACGAGACTGGAGGCCCAGGTTCGGGAACAACAGGACCAGATCCTGCAGATGGGGACCGCCCTGCAGGAGGTGATCACCACCCTCCGAGGCTGGGGTACGCCTCCACCGCCTCCCTCCCTGCCAGCACCATCGGCCAGTCCGCCCATTCCAGCGCCGGAACCTCGAGGAGTCCGACTCTCTCTCCCGAGGGCCTACGACGGAACCGCGGCTGGGTGTCAGGGATTCCTCCTCCAGGTGGAGCTATACCTGGCCACCGTGCACCCGGCACCTTCGGGGCATGAGAGCGTGTCCGCCCTGATCTCCTGCCTGGCCGGGAAGGCGTTGGAATGGGCCAACGCGGAGTGGAGGAAGATCGACGCCGCGACTATTACCTACGACGAGTTCTCCCGCCGCTTCAGGGCGGTGTTTGACCATCCCCCGGAGGGGAAAGCGGCGGGGGAGCGTCTGGTCTTCCTCCGGCAGGGGAGGAGGAGTGCCCAGGAATTCGCTCTCGAATTCCGTACTCTAGCGGCAGATGCAGGGTGGAATGATCGGGCCCTCGTCGATCTATACAGATGTAGCCTACGAGAGGACGTCCGTCGGGAGCTGGCTTGTAGGGACACCAGCCTCTCTTTCGACCAGCTGGTCGACATGTCCATCAGGCTGGATAACCTACTGGCTACCCGCGGACGTCCTGCGGAGGGTCCGTCCATTTCACCCTCCAGCGCCTCCGAGCCGTGTCCCATGGAGCTCGGGGGCGCTGGCGCTAGAGAGAGGAGGAGTCGGCAGGCTAGGGGGTCCATCCACTGCACCAACTGTGGTCGGGGAGGACACACCGCGGCTAGGTGCTGGGGATGGCCTCCTAGGGGAGATGACGACAGGTTCCGCACTGGGGATTCCCTCCAGGTGAGTAGGCGCCCCACTCACCCAGAGCTCACTGTTGCCCATTTTTGTATGCCTGTGCGTTTTCCACAGGTAGCACCTCATTCCCAGCATAAGGCGCTGGTAGATTCAGGCGCGGCTGGGAATTTTATTGATAAGAAGTTTTGTTTAGCGTTAGGGATTCCCCTTATTCCTGTTGATGTTCCTTTCCCCGTTCATGCCCTAGATAGCCGTCCGTTGGGTACGGGCTTAATCAGGGAGGTCACGGCGCCACTTAGGATGTGTGCGCAGGGGGATCATCAGGAGATGATTCAGCTGTTCCTGATTGACTCTCCTGCGTATCCGGTGGTGCTGGGCATGCCCTGGTTGAGTACCCATAACCCAGCTATTTCGTGGCAGGAGAGGGCTCTGATGGAGTGGTCTGCTCAGTGTGTGGGTAGATGTTTGGGGCGTTTCCGTAGGGGCTACCTCGGTGGAGAGTCCAAACCAGGTGCCCGCATTGCACGTTCCCCCTGAGTATGGGGATTTGGCTATTGCGTTTAGTAAGGCGAGGGCGACGCGGTTGCCACCCCATAGGCAGGGAGATTGTGCGATAGACCTCCAGGCAGGAGCTGCGCTCCCACGGAGCCATGTGTATCCTCTGTCTCAGGAGGAGAAGAAAGCTATGGAGATTTACATAGACGAATCTCTGAGACAAGGATACATACGGCCTTCCACTTCCCCTGCGTCCTCGAGTTTCTTTTTTGTGAAGAAAAAGGATGGTGGTTTGCGCCCGTGCATCGATTACCGTGGTCTCAATCAGATTACGGTGAAGTACAGTTATCCACTCCCGCTGATTGCGACCATGACTGAGTCGTTGCATGGGGCGCGTTTCTTCACGAAATTAGATCTCAGGAGCGCGTACAACTTGGTGCGCATCAGGGAGGGTGATGAATGGAAGACAGCCTTTAGTACCACCTCGGGCCATTACGAGTATCTGGTCATGCCATACGGGTTGATGAACGCTCCGTCAGTTTTCCAATCATTCGTGGATGAGATCTTCAGGGACATGCAGGGGCAGGGGGTGGTTGTGTACATTGATGACATTCTCGTGTACTCGCCTACCCGTGTCGAGCATGTGGCCCTGGTGCGTAGAGTGTTGCGGAGGCTGGTGGAGCACGACCTGTATGTGAAGGCAGAGAAGTGTCTGTTTTTCCAGGAGTCGGTCTCCTTTTTGGGTTATCAGTTGTCTGCGTCAGGGGTGAAGATGGAGGTAGACCGGGTGTCGGCCGTGCGTAATTGGCAAACACCAACCACTGTGAAAGAGGTGCAGCAGTTTTTGGGGTTTGCAAATTACTACAGGAGGTTTATCCGGGGTTTTGGACAGGTGGCAGCTCCCATCACGTCTCTGTTGAAGGGGGGTCCGGTGCGTCTGCAGTGGTCGGC